CCTTTAATCCCAGCACTCAGGAGGCAGAGGCAGGCAGATCTCTGTGAGTTCGAGACCAGCCTGGTCTACAAGAGCTAGTCCCAGGACAGCCGCCAAAGCCACAGAGAACCAAATAAATAAATAAATAAATAAATAAATAAATAAATAAATAAAATTGGCAGCTCTAGCTAATGCTACAGAAACATATCTAGTCACCTATCTCATACAACATCACAATTTCAAGATTTCAAAACAGTTACTGGGGGGGTAAAAGCCTGGCTTTAATTGCAGCACAGGGAATGTAGAGGCAGACAGTTCTCTGTGAGTCCAAGGCCAGCCTGATCTGCATTTAAGTTTCAGGCCACCCAAAGCTACACAGTAAGACCCTGTCTCAAAAAACTATACATACACACATACACACACAGTATTACATAATGTTTGTGTATTTTATGCATATATATGTGTTATACACTTTATGTGTATTTATGCATATGTATGTATACATTATATATATTATACATACATGTGCTATACATGCATACATGTGTATATACATGTGTACATGCACACACACATATTATGTATGTGTGTATGAATGCACACACAAATACATAATTTCAACCTGTTCTTAAGGTTAAGAGAACATGTTTTCCAATTTATGGCACTTTTAAATTCAACAATTTGGGTTTATTTCCAACAAGGTCTCATTATACGATCCAGGCTGGGCTTGAAGCTGTGTGTCTCCTGCCTCTGCCTCCTGAGTGCTGGGTGAGATTACAAGTATGTGCCACACACACAGCTAACATAAGTTTTGATTGTATATATATACCCAATCATGTGCTAGACACCGAAGTGAACGATTTATGAAAGACTGTAACATCATTTATAATGACACTGTATCCATAAGGAGGGACCAAAGCATAACTGAGTTCACTGAGTGAATAAGGGAAGACTTCAGGAAGAAAGCAAATAGAGTTGGATATTAAAATAACAACAAGAGTTGGCCATATACATAAGGATAAGAGAATCGGGTCGATGACAACCCCATTCTGGTTAAAATGTAGAGGAATGTCAGACATGAAAGACTTAAGTCCTAGGAAACGTAGTCCACTGCTGCAAAAGTAAAATCACTCAAAAAATTAATTGAAATCCCAGTTGCAAATGTCTTTGATGCCAAATTAAGGGACTGAAGAGTAGATCTGATCCTGTAAGACATATGAAATGTACAATTTTCCCAAACAAAATAAAATATGCCTGACTTTATTTTCAGGAAGATGACAACGGCAGCTACTTGGACCTTGGCCTACAGTGAGACAAGACTGAAGGCAGACACCATTCTGCTGCTGTAATGGCCTACAGCAGTGACACAGAGGAAGAGAAGCAGCTATGCAAGCACACAGCCTTGCTTTCCTTGCCTGGGGATGGGATCCAAAGCCCTGTGCAAGCTCTGAGCTTTACCCTGGATACCTCCTCTTCTACACTCTTTTTTTTTCCCCTTTTTTTCTTTTGTTTTTTTGAGACAGTGTTTCTCAGTAGCTATGGAGTCAGTCCTGGAACTCACTCTGTAGACCAGGATGGCCTCAAACTTACAAATAAAAACTCAATCTCTTAAGAGCTCTGGCAGCCATTTCACTTTTAATTACCACAGTGGTCCTCAACCAGAAGGTTGTGACCCCTTCGGGGGTCAAAAACGTTTTCACAGGGATCACATATTAGATATTCTGTATATCAGATATTTACATTACAATTCATAACTAGCAAAACTATAGTTACGAAGTAGCAACAAAAATAATTTTATGGTTGGAGGTCACAACAAAATGAAAAACTGTATTAAAGGGTGGCAGCATTAGGAAGGTTGAGAACCCCTGAATTAAGTGCCTTTTAGAAACATGAATTAAAAAAGGAACTTTTTGTTTTTAGTTAGTCTTAGAAATCCAACTCACATTAGGCAAGTTTTCACACATAATCCTATGCTATGGAATCAGGATTTCTTGACCCTTTTAATGAAAAGAAATTTTTAACAATATTCCTTTATTATAAGTATTCCTAACTAGAAAAAATATTGCCTCAGACTTGTCACTATAAACTTTTATGTTCCACTTTTTTTGAGACAGGGCCTCACATACCCCAGACTGGCTGGAACTTGTGTATAGCCAAGTATGGCCTTGAACCTCTGGTCTGCCTGGCTCCACTTCCTAAATGTTGGGATTAAATCAAGGCCAGTTTATGTGGCGTGCAACCCATATTCTAAGCGGGGTTTTCTTTGGTTTTGGGGTTGGGGAGGTTGTCTGTTTGGTTTTGAGTTTTTGTTGTTTGGTTTTGTTTCTCAAGACAAGGTTTCTCTGTGTTGCCCTAGCTGTCCTGGAATTGTAGACCCAGTTGACTTCAAACTCAGAGAGATCAGCCTGCCTCTGCCTCTGGCTCTAAATGGATTTTGTTTTTTTGGTTTTTGGGGTTTTTTTTTTTTGGGGGGGGGGTTGCTGTTGTTTTTAAAATCTACTTTGAAAATACAAAAGTTGACTTTATTTTATTTACTCTAATTTACCAGTTTCACTCAAGGAAAAAGTGTATTTGAATCAAGATCTTTATTAGAGAGACACACTGGGAAACAAACAGAACAAGGCACTATGTTTTGTTGCAAGCCCAGCCATTCAATTCAATTCAGAAGCAGAATTATTTTTAACTTCTCTCAGTTTCCAGGCAAAATAAAAATATTTCAAATTTAAAACTTTTTTTTTTAAATTCTAGATGAAGTGTACTACAAAGTTAGCTTGGGGAGAGAGGGGATCCACCTCGGTTATTTTATAACAACAATGTCCAATAGTAGCAATGGATTTGCTTTCCCCAATCATCCCTGTAAAGACTCCCACTGGAATACCAATTTAAAAAGTACTGTGGATACTCCAAAAACAAAGCACAACTCGATTACAGCACCTATAGCCCCAGGAGAGCCCTCAAGGACACATGGTAATTAAAAGAAACAACTCCTTCAACTGAGTAACTTGACCTCTACAGTTGTACCTACAACAGTAATCATCATCCTTGAAACCTGGACAGTTCTTGTAATTTTCAGAGCACTGTATATGAAACACTTCACACGATGTGTTTTGTTTTTCCTCTTACAATAAAATCAGCACATACTACTTTGATGCTGGAGTTCCGTCACCCAGCCAATCAAATTACAGCAGTGCAAGAAGGAACCCTAAGTAGCACTTCAAATCTAAAGTGTGGTGACAATCTGCTTATCAAAAATGCTCCAACACGATCCTAAAAACTCTCTTTTGTATAGTCTGACACTCCTTAGGGTCGGTTGGAGACTTTCTTTCCAAGTTCCAGAACCTAGCAAAAAGGAATTCCTTCCAGGATGGGACCAAGGAAACAACCGGCTTTAAAACCCACCATTCCTAGGCCAGAAGCGGGTTCCATCCGTCCTGCTCTGGCCCAAAGAAGACATTCTCGATGCATTATTATTAATATAACAATCAAATAATGCTCCCCAAGAGATTCCTATAAATTCCCTCAACTCCTAAGAACCGGTGGTTCAGGCCTGGGTCTGTCACTCCGTTTTCTGTTCTTGATGGTCTAGGTTTTCGATAAACACAACCAAAGCACGCAGCCATTTGACAAGAGGATGGGAAATGGAGGATATAATACTCAATATTTCTTCCTGAAGAAAAAAAAGGGGGGTAGCACATGTCCTTAATCACAGTACCTGAGAGGCAGAGGCAGGCGGATCTCTGAGTTCCAGGCCAGCCAGGAGAGCAGAGACCCTGTCTTAAAAAAAAAAAAAGGGGGGGGGGGGTAGGCGGTACCCAAGATAGCCAAGAGGAAGAAAAGGTAGGCACCAAAGAACACTAACATTTAATCTCTCCAGGGTCCACCTTCAGAGTGCTAAACTCAGAATGTTAGCATGTGGAATCGGGAGCAGGTGAGCAATCAGGGATGCAGACTGGGTTGGCAGCATCCAGAGTCAGACCCCAGGGGCCCGCCAGGACCCTCAGCCAGCTGCCGCCACACGGGCGGCGCCCCCGCGAGCTTTCAAACCGCCGCCCCGGGAAGGCGCTGCGCCGATTGGGAAGTTCTTCCACGACCGTCACCAGCACAGGGCCATAGCGGTAACTCTTCAGCCAAGCCCTCCCAGACCTCTCCGAGTCCCCGGGGACCAGACCTCCAAACTCCACCTCCAGGCGC